TGGCCGCAGCACAGCCCCCAAATCGTCTCCCCTCTCCTTTCAGACATGCCGGGCCGCCCGGATGCAGGACGTCTGGACCGCCCAACCTCTACCCGCTTATGCCAGCGGAGCCTCCGGGTGAGGGCCAGCGGAGGCAGGTCAGCCCCAGAGGCCTGCGGACCCCGGGCAACACTCTTCTTCCTTACCCTTCACCATTCACCACTTCTGCGCGATGAAAAGGGCGATGGAGAAGCGAGGTCAGCGCAGGCAGTTAGCCCAGGGTTCTCCACATCACACCGTGTGACCTCCTCCCCACTCCCATCCAGACTCGATGGGCTGACTGCTTTCACGTCCCTTGCCTTGGCTAATGGTCATAAAAATCCCGGGGAGGGAACTTTATCATCTTACAGCTGAGAGCAGGCTCAGACAGCTTAAGTAACTTGGTCAAGGTCACACAGCCACGCAGTGGGGGCACGAGACTGCCCGAAGACGCCTGCTTTGTGCCCTCTTGTCCAAAAGCCCCATCAGGGGGCAGCAAGGGTGGGGAGGCTCACTCACCATGTACATGGCGGCAGCCACAGGAAGATAGAACGAGTAGAAAGCGGTCTTATACTTGACGATGGACTTGTACCTGGGCAGGGGAGAAGATACACCGCTCAGAAGGGCAGTGCCCAGCACAGCCCTCCCGGGCCGTCCAGATGCAGTTCCCACCATCCCTCACCTCTTTTCAGTGAATCTGCTGAGATCCACATTGCCCTGGGGGGCCGTGATGAGGTCCAGCGTCTGTCCGAGCTCAGTCTGATAGGAACTCTGAGGAGGAAGATGGCCCGTAACCTTGCCTTTCCCCAGGGCTGGGAAACCCTGAAATCCCGGGACCCACATCCCATGCCATGGGCAGTCAGACAGGGAGCAAGGACAGGGCCCTTGGGGTGCCCGGGTGGCACAGTTGGTTAAGCGTCTGACTCCTGATCTCGGCTCAGGTCATGATCTCACGGTTCGAGCCCTGTATCGGGCCCTGCGTGGTCAGTGGGGAGCCTGCTTGGGATTCTCTCTCCCCCTCTCTCTGCCCCTCCCCCACCCAGTGGCTCACTCGCTCACTCTCTCAAAATAAATAAATTAAAAAAAAAAAAAGAGGGCGAGGGCCCCGAGCCTCATGGCCCATCCTGACCCGATCACGGAGACCAGGGAAGCCCTTCCTGCCACCACCCTGCCCGGCACCCTTCCCTGCTTTGTTCCCTTCAGGCAGACCTAGCGCTCTCCCGTGCCCCGAGCGAAGCCAGATGAAAGTGGCCCAGGGAGGCCAGGCCTGCGGCACACCTGTAGGAAGAGCTCAATCAGGTTCAGGTAATAGGGCTGCTCCCGGCAGTAGAGCCTCAGCACGCGGTAGATACATGCTTCCAGAAGCAACGCGTCATTGATGGCATCCAGACCTATGCCTGGCTGTCGGGGACGCAGAAGAAACATGCGGTCAATCTCTGGCCACTGCGGACACCTCGGCGGGCTCAAGGTCACCACCACCCCAGGCCCTTTGCCACGCCCACTGCTGGCTTCTCGCCCGGTAGTATCGCACCTTCTGATACCAGCAGACCTGCCCCCGCCGGGTGAGGGATGAATCCATGATGTCGTCCGACACCAGGAAGAAAGCCTGGAGCTACAGGAGAAGGAAGAGTGGGGTAAGACCCTCGGTCTCCTTGGAGGTGCTCCTTCTGCCGGTGACAGAGCGGTTGGGACATCTGTGCTGTGCCGTGGGACTTCGGAAAATCCTACGACTTCGTTGGATCTGGCGTTCCAGGTATAACGTGGGGTCACAGCTCTCATTTCCAGAGTGAGAGACTCCCAACAGATCTCGGACATCCCCAAACACGCAGCCCTAGACGACCCCGGGGTCAGGGAGGTTAGATCTTCACAGACTGTTCCCTGGCCAAAAACTTCCTTGAATGCTGAAGGGAAGATTCCTTCATGCAGTCTGACTTTACCTGACTTCTGGAATAAAAGGCAGCTGTTCCCGTGTCGTCCCCGGGCACTCTGCTTACACACCCGTGTGCGGGACAAAGCCCCACCTCAGGGAGCTCATCTAAGGGTGTAGGTCTAATAGGGACAGAACCGAAGTCTGACCCCTGGTAACTTCCACCCATGGGTCTTAACCATTTAACCACTCAAACAGCAGCCCAGGGCTTCTAAGTCCCAGCCTTCCTGAGGTCCCCAGGATACACGAGTTTTCCCAGCAGGCTGTGAGGTCCTCGGAGGCAAGGCCAACATCTGCCCCCCCGGAGCTCCCAGAGGCTCAAACAGCCGGCCCCAGAGCCGATGTGTAACAAACGCATGTGTAACAGAGAGCGAAACGCCGCCGCGTACCCCAATACTTCTTGTAGTCAGGTTCCGAGACTTCGAACACGGCCTTCCAGAACACGGTTTAGATCTTCACTCCGCCCTGAAGTCTGTGCACCAGCGGCCCTGCCTCGCTCGGAGCCCCCAGCGCCACCCGTCGGCTCTGCCGTGCCCCATACAGAAAGGACTAAGGTGGCCGCTGCTCTTTTCCCAAGTGAATCCTCGGGGAAGGAGGCGTCCATCCACACCTCCATGTCTGCCCTCATCCTGAGGCAGGCTCTGGGCCCCCATATCGGAGGCACGTGTCTTATGTACATAGTGTTTACTTTGAGCGACATGCTTCCACTGAAGCTCCCGGTCCACTCTCTTCCACCTGGTTTCAACCGTTCCCACTCAACCCACACGGTCTCCAGGGGCATTCGTTCTGCGGCTTCCCTCAGTCTCCTCCGTCCCACTGCAGTTCGTAACCCAACTGCACTTCCTGTTTTGTAGGGGACTTAAAAAATACACACCGGTACCAGAGTCTCAACTAAATGAGAAACCTATCCACAGTATTAGTCAGTTACGCTGGAGGGACTATTCTAAAGATTAAAGATTAAAGATCAAAGAAGAACCCATTACTCTTGACTGGATCCTGAGTATTTGAAAAAAAAAAAACAAATGGGGCACCTGGGTGGCGCAGTCGGTTAAGCGTCCGACTTCAGCCAGGTCACGATCTCGCGGTCCGTGAGTTCGAGCCCCACGTCGGGCTCTGGGCTGATGGCTCAGAGCCTGGAGCCTGTTTCCGATTCTGTGTCTCCCTCTCTCTCTGCCCCTCCCCCGTTCATGCTCTGTCTCTCTCTGTCCCAAAAATAAATAAATGTTGAAAAAAAAAATTAAAAAAAAAAAATTAAAAAAAAAAAAGAAAAAAAAAAACAAACAACTTAGAATGGACTTTTTGTGGACAATGAGGAAATTTAACTATGAAATATACATTATGGGAATGCAAGCTGGTGCACCCACTCCGGAAAACAGGATGGAGGTTCCTCACAAAACTAAAACTAGAACTACCCCATGACCCAGCAACTGCACTGCTAGGCATTTCTCCATGGGATACAGGTGGGCTGTTTCGAAGGGACACATGCACCCCCACGTTTACAGCAGCGCTATCGACAACAGCCAAAGGATGGAAGGAGCCCAAATGTCCATCGATGGATGAATGGATAAAGATGTGGTCTATATATACGATGGAGTATTACTCGGCAATCAAAAAGAATGAAATCTTGCCATTTGCAGCTACGTGGATGGAACTGGAGGGTATTATGCTGAGCGAAATTAGTCAGAGAAAGACAAAAATTATATGACTTCACCCATATGAGGACTTTAAGAGACAAAACAAAGCAACATAAGGGAAGGGAAACAAAAATAATATAAAAACAGGGAGG